CCCCGGCTGAGCCCAGGCTCAAAGGCTCCAGGCGAAGTTGCAGCTGCGGGTTCTCTCCGCCCCCACCGCCGGCTGAGCCAGAACCGGGGCTGGGGCCGCGAGGGGGCGGGGCCTCAGGCGATGACTTCAGGCGTGCGCTGCGCGGCGCAGGGCGGGGACTGCGGCGGGCGGGTCGGTGGGCTCCCCCGACTCCGCTTCTCCTCCTTGGCGGCGACTGGGCTGTCCCGCCCTCCCGCCGCATCCCTCCGTCTCCATCCTCCCGCCCTGCGAGTTGAGTACAGGGCAGCGACTTGGCCTATTTTGCGATACTCTCCCCTCCCTTGGGTAATCCCTCACGCCCTCCCTCCTGGCACCTCTGTAAAGACACGTGGAAGACCTGCCCCTGGCGTCACCACAGCTCGAGATGAAGGGGCCAAGCCAGGGCGCGGCTGAGGGGGCTTCCAGCCTCTCTTGGAATTAGGATTGGGATTTAAATCCTCATCTGTATTCCTTCGTTTATAGATCACTTTAGGGGCAGAAAAGGGGTGGTTTTCCTTTACTAATGGGGGCGTGGGGGCAACACAGGCACCAGAATATAACACAGGGATGTGCACGGGAAAAGGCCCGGAGGTAATTAGGACCCTAGGGGGAGAGGGGTCGTCATTGTAATCGCACAACGTTTCAGATTAGCAACCAGAAAGTAAAAATGGCACCAAAGTCTGTAAAGGGAGTCCTTTCCTCTTTGCCCCCTACTGGTTCACGTTCTTCCTCTTCTTGGCCGGTTTCCACCCTTCACCTGAACCCTTAGTGCAGAAGGAGACGTCCTAAGGAAGAGCGAAAAGGGACAGCATCGTTTTATTTTTAAATCTTACTTCTCACTGGCAATATGGTGATGCTTCCAACGTTTAGTTACAAACTAGTTCGTGTAATAAATTCTGGGCCAGCACTGTGGTGGGAGGCGGGCTCTGCAGTAGGCCCATCACTCAGAGGTAAACCAGAACGCAGGTCACTTAACCAGAGAGGCTTTGAGTTCCGCTTTTCCTGTTCTGGAATCTTGCTAACAAAGGCCCCATATTTGCATTTTTCCTTAAAGACACTTTAATTGGGAAATACTACTTAAAATTCTTGGAAGTTAAATCACATTTGGGTGTGTGTTCTATAACTTACCACATCCGTGTTGTAATTTATCTGATTGGAGTTTTACATTTAGTCTCCCTGTGGTAGACTTCCAATTATTTCTCCAAATCATGTAATGTTGGTCAAGGGTCAGCTGTTTCTGATGATAAAAAGATACAGAAACATGAAAGACGAGTGTGATTGGTTCCTTTTTCTGATTTAAATGTGCATTAGCTTTTTTATCTAACACTTCAGGGGGTAGATTTTTTAAGTCCCAAAAAGAAAATTAGCAGAAGCTATATAGCACTATGTAAAGTATACATTTTTTTTTTCATGCTTTGTAGTTACCACAGTCTCAGGAGCAGAATTTTTGAAATTCATTTGTGATGCAGTTCTAGGAAGTGTATAAAATATTACAGAAATATCTTGGCTTTTGCGAGTTTAAAATACAATTATTATTTCAAAACTGCCAATTTCCTAACTCTAAACAGTATTTAAAGAAAATCATTTACTCAGGTTTTCTACATCTTTTTATCAATATAAAGGGCACGCTACTGCACAAAGAAAGTACATTCGAAGGTGAAAGAATCTAAAATATTTCAATATCTATTACAGAGTAAAAGCAAACCGTAAAAACAAGTTGCTCTTTTGGCACTTGGCATCAAAGATAAAATTTTTGTGTCCCTAGTAATTAAACTTGGGAGGATAGAGGGCTAATGCAATTAAAATTAATTGAAATACTAAGTGGGAATATTATGTAAAGTAACTATCTATTTCTTTTAATCATATGAATTCTGAGTATATACTGAACTAATGCTTCCCCCACATCCATGATACATGGATGATATGTACATGGGATGATACAGCCATGGTTTTCAGAATGATTAAAATTTATCATAACACAAGTTGGAGAACCTAAGGACCACCTAACCATTACTAAACCCCATGTGGTAAACTGCCTATTTTTGTTTTGTTGTGACAGTGTGTTAGGACTACAAGGAGAATTTTACAAGCAAAGACATTTGTCATTGAACCTCAATAAACCTCAGTCTTGGCAGTTGTTCTACTGTGCAGAGATAATATAAGTAATGAAAATAGTGACTCTGGCCGGGCGCGGTAGCTCAAGCCTGTAATCCCAGCACTATGGGAGGCCGAGACGGGCAGATCACGAGGTCAGGAGATCGAGACCATCCTGGTCAACACGGTGAAACCCCGTCTCTACTACAAAACACAAAAAACTAGCCGGGCGAGGTGGCAGGCGGCTGTAGTCCCAGCTATTGGGGAGGCTGAGGCAGGAGAATGGCGTAAACCCGGGAGGCGGAGCTTGCAGTGAGCTCAGATCCGGCCACTGCACTCCAGCCGGGGCGACAGAGCGAGACTCCGTCTCATAAATAAATAAATAAATAAATAAATAAATAATAATAAAGAAAATAGTGACGCTGTGTGTGTGTGTATAAGTATCATTGCTCAGATGAAATTAGGATATTTAATGTTTTGGGAGGGGACTTTTAAAGAATATAAACTGGATCACAAAAGAAGAAAATAGTACTAAAAATGCCGTATTAAATACTAAACTATATTAAACTATTTGTTTGAAATGTTTCATTTCAGAAAAAGACATTATTGAAAAGTGAAAAATAAATGTTGCATTTATAATTCTTAAATTTGTATATAAATCTTTGAACTGATTATCTTACTATGATTATCTTACTATCTTATGTGAGCTATCTTATATGTGTTTTTCTGATTCAAATTTGTCAGATTGTGCAAACATCAACTACAGAACTGAAGAGGGATATGACAATGGATAAAAGTGATATTTTAAAATTAGAAGAGGTAGGCACAGTCACTCATGCCTGTAATCCAGTGCTTTGGGAGACCAAGGCGGGAGAATCCCTTAAGCCCAGGAGTTGGAGGCTGTAGTGAGCTATGATTGTGCCACCACACTCAAGCCTGGGTGACAGAGCAAAATCCTGTCTCTAAAAAATAAATAAAATTAGAAGGAAACCCCATGCCTAATATGAGGTAAGCTCAAGAGAACTTTATATTTACAAAAATACGAAATATATGAAATAGCAAAAGAACCAAACAATGTGTAGGAAAAGTAAACCAACCAATAACAATTGAAGTAGTTCCTAAAGAACTATTGCTACTACATAGAAAAAGATTTATGAATGAATTCTAAAAGATTCCAAGGACTAGATAATTCTTATATATCAAGTGTGTATCAAGGACCATGCTATACAACTTCTTCCAGATCACAAAGGTGACAAGTTATCCAATTTTTTATGGATTGTTGTAATCCCAAAAATCATGTATAATTAAAAACAAAACAACAACAACAACAACAAAAAAAAACACTCTTTCTTTTGAAGATGGATTTGAATATCTTAATTGGATCCCTGGCAGGTAGAATTCAAATAGGTGAATGGAAAACAAATAGGTTACTTAACCTGTCTGTGCCTCAATTCCCTTACCTGCAAATTGGGGATGATAATAACTACCTCACAGGATTGCTGTGGGGTTTAAACGTGTTAATCTTTGTAAAATAGTTAGAACAGTGTGTGTGTACATCCTATATTGGTAATAGAGACAAACATACAATTTAGAAATGTAACTGTGTTATAGCTCACCAAGAAAAAATAACATTCATTGGTATAGGCCAGGTCAGTTGTATATGGTAATTTATATACATGTATCAGAATAAAATAGTGACTGGTGTCTTTTCCTGGCCCTTTGGGGTTACTAATTAGTCCAGGAATTATGGTGAAATAGTACACTCTTGACAAATATTTACCAAATTTTTGGGAGCCAGGTTCATAGAAGCCTTCATTCTAGGCTGTGATTTCCTGCCCAGTGCTACCAAAATAAAGGAAGGAAAATTAGGGAGAGGTAGCTAGGTGGTATGGTGAGGCCAAGAGGACAAGGGCACTCATCTTAAGTCCCTGATTCCTGGGAGGTACAGAAAATGAATCTCACCTGTACCTTTGACTCCAGAGTTGGGTTGCAATAACCAATAAGAAAGAAGGTATGATATGAACCACTGAAGCAGTCCTTGGGATAGGAAGTGGGTGTGGGAGGGATAGAATTCCGCCAACAGATAAAGTCTTCCAAAGGACCATCAATGCTTTCAGGAACTGCTTACGACTGACATCTTTGTCGATGGAACTTATGGTAACCACCTGGTCATCCTGAGCCTAGGAAAAGAAACAAGATCATTTATAGTGAAATGGGACAGCAACCTGGACAGTGCGTGAGGATACAAAGTCTTCCTTGCCTGCCTTCGTGCTTTTTCAGACACTGGACAGTAAGTAGAAGGAAGTGTGGATTCAAGAAAGCAGATCATGCCTTCACACACAAACCCACACACAGCCTCCTATCTGACCTGCCCTGGTGGAGAAGAGGACTGTTGAAAGCTGAAAATGTTCAAAATGTTAGGGAATTGGATTGAGATGTACTTAGTGGAAAAGGGGATTTTCAACAGCGTACAGTTGGCAGTGTTATTGGGAGAGAAAAAAATTTGAGTATATACTTCCAGTGATTTGAGACTTCTCACTAAACCAGTTACCTATTTTATGTTAAGTAGTTAGTAATACCTCCATTTTACAGATGGGGAAAAAAGACCAAAGAGAAGTTAGGGAAGGTCACACCAGAAGTAAAGAGCTAGAATTCAAATCTGATACATGTAACTCCAAAGCCCATGCCTTTTCCACCATGCTCTTCAACATGCTGTGAAATAAAAACTGGAAGTTTTTTTTTCAGATGCCATATGAGAAGGAAATACCTAACTATAGGATTTCTGTATAGTGTTTAGGGTTCAGCTAAGACTGGAAACCATGTGACATTAATCTGCGGTGGTGTATGGTTTTCTTTAGCTGTAACCAGCAGTTTGAGTGTAGGAAGAAAGAAGGCAGATAGATAAATAGGGTTTTGCAGTGTGGGCACTCAAATGGGAAAAAGGGGCAAAGAATGTAAGGATACTGGTGAAAGAATAGATGAAGTGATGGGAAACTGGGTGTAGCCTATCTGGAAAAAGCAGTTAAGACAAAGCTGCAATGTGGAGAGAAGGTCATGGGAATAAAGGAGTGGAACTTTTGCAATTGAAAAGCAAATATAACGAGAGTAAGGGAGTAAAAGTTGGAAAGATATGATGTTAGGGTGGGAGAGGAGGGTGCTGAAGTTTAAGATTGGAGAGATGAGACAGTGGAGGAATTGATCTGTGAGGTGACCTTGGAGTGTGTCTCTCTGATCTCCCTTCAAGAAAGACCTTGATATTCAGCCACGAGGAATGTACTTAGCTGACAGCCTCCAACTTTTAGCACCTGCAGGACCTGCCTCAGCCTTTTTATTTAATTTTTTATTTTTTATTGATACATAATAGAGGTACATATTTTGGGCATATATGTGATAATTTAATACATCCATATAATTTGTAAAGATCAAATCAGTGTTATTGGGATGTCCATCATCTTAAAAATTTTCTTTTCTTTAGGCTAGAAACATTCAAATTATTTTCTTCTAGCTATTTTAAAATATAACAATAGATTATTGTAAACCACAGTCGCCCTACTCCATGCTTTTCCCAGATATCCCCAGCCAGTGACAAATCTCAGCCAAGATAATGGGGCCTGACCATTCTTTCCAATGCAGAGCCCTTCTAATCATCAGTCCTTGTTCTCTAGCTTGCTATTGGGTTGACTGGGAACTTGTCAGATATGCATTGTAGTCTGAGCCTTTCCTTTCCAGTCCTGCTTCCTGTGCCTTTCATCTTTCACGGGTGTTACCTTCCAATAAGCCTCTTACACCCCTAGTTCCATTTTAGCATCGCTTTCCAGAAAAGCCAACTGACACATTCTGTGAGGAAGATGAAGATTGGTGGTTTTGTTTTAAATAGGAAAACAGGAGGTCTACAGAGCATGATGAAAATGTTTCCCAGAGAGGACTGTATACTAAGGATGAGTTACCAGGAAGGCAGCATATAGCAGCATAGACTAAGACTACACAAGAGTATAGATGTCTTATGTTTTGAACAGCAGAGAAAGGTGGAATTGAGAGAACGGGGCCAGGCACAGTGGCTCACGCCTGTAATCTCAGCACTTTGGGAGGCTGAGGCGGGCAGAACACTTGAAGTCAGGAGTTCCAAATCAGCATGGCCAACAT